CACATTTCGCTTTGATCCTCCAGACAGATGACAATCCAATATAGTAATTATTTTATATCATAAATCGGTAATTCTGATTTCATTTTAATAATAAAGCTCAAAAACAAAAATCTCTTCTTGTAACATTTCGTTGTCCAAAAAAGCAAGCTACACATGGATCGATCTGATCAAAATAAACTAACAGTGTTGCTTAGGGATGGCCGAGCTGCTATATCGAGCAACTTGCAGAGCCGTTGGCCAACGCAGATCACCTACAAGATAGATACTGCCAGCGGAGGTGAGATTTTAGTTTAAATAGGCGATTTGTTGCGTCTGTTTCTGTTGCCTTTGTATGCATTCGCATTACCGTTAATGTTCGTGTTATGTAGTCGATCAAACTGCCGTCGTGAACGCATTGAATCTCTGGTCTCAAAGTACTTGCCTACGGTTCGTGCGAAACGACAAGCCATCAGGAGACTACATGGAGTTTTTCAAGGGTCAGGGGTAAGTACTTTGGTTAGAAATTATAATAATAATGGTATAATGCTGTTAAACAAGGATATTATGAATTTTCTTTGAAGCGATGCATATTTCTTTCGAAGAATTTGTCGTTCAGTTTCTATCATGCTACAGATCGGCTCAGATGTAGTGTAACTCAGTAAAAAGCGATCATGAAACTAAACAAATAAATAATAAAAAATCCATCGTTTGTAGTTGCGTTATTTTTGTGCTTTCGCTACAAGGTTCTGTGTTGTGCAACAGGTGCTACTCGTTCGTTGGTCGAACCGGCGGTAGACAGCAGATATCGATAGGTGCCGGATGCGAAAGGGTAGGAATCGTAGCACACGAGATCAACCACGCTTTGGGTTCGTGGCACGAGCAAAGTCGCTTCGATCGCGATTCGTTCGTCACGGTCAACTTCCAAAACATACAGTCAGGTGCTTCTGGAAACTTCGAGAAATATCAGGCCAGCAGTTTCGGGTTCACAAGCGAAGTTCCGTTTGAGTACGGCTCAGTGATGCATTACTCATCAACGGTACTCATGCGTAACTACTCGAATATTTGACTTACTGTCGTCGGTTTGTTGTTCAGTCGTTTTCCACCAACAATCAGCCGACGATCGTGAGCAAGGACGACCGCTACATGAACACCATGGGGCAGAGAGACTCTTTGTCGTTTTTCGACATCCGAGCCGTGAACCTGGCCTACTGCAGCGGTACGAACATTCTCCGGTCTAAAAGCCTCGGCTGCTTGACGATCTGTTTCAGGTTCGTGCAAGGGCGTATCGGCGCCGGCATGTACCCACGGAGGGGTGCAGAATCCCAACCTATGTTCCAGCTGCATATGCCCATCTGGTCTTGGTGGAAGCACTTGCAATGAGGCTCGAGGTAAGGCGAAGTTGAGCACACGTACAGTATTAGTATTTTGATCCTTAAGCAATGCAGGGGATAATAATTTTTATTAGTCATAATTTGTTTTTTTACAAAAGCTGTTGCATGAAGGAGACTTCTCGGCATAATATAAATGACCTGTTATTCACGCGTGTCCCGGTAAAGATTCATTCCTACTCCCTATGCGACTCTAAGATTTGCAGCCCTATTGAGATGATGATTCTTTCAGATGAATTCATAGAGATAAAAATTGTACAGCATGCAGAAAGCTGTTTTGTTCATTCACCTGGATATCAACGATAACGCTAATCCTTCGCAATCTCACACAACGTCTACCTGGTCGTTCTATGCTGCTTTTGATTTGCTCAGATCGATGCTCGTACACAATGTTCAGACAAGTAATACCGATGTAACCAATCATGAACTTCGCTGCTCCATCGACTCCTCCTGCTGAGGAGAAGGCGAGAAATTTCTACAAGCAGATGCTTCGTATCTGCTACATCAAAGTAGAGATCAAAATTGCAATAACTCTAGAAAAAGCTGTAATTTCAGAGCTCTTCTTCAGTACGTTTGTAAAAAAAAGAGCAGAAAAATTTTCAGCCAATCAACGGATGTTATCCCACGAATAAATGTGACTCCATGGCTCCTTTGCACGCGCTGTTGTATGCAATACAAAGTGTCATACTGCACCAGAGTGGTTGGTCGCTTTGCACTGCCTGTAAATTTATGAAGAACCAATCAGATTCCAGAAACAGACGGCTTCTTCCGGGTAGTGCCAGCTACAGTGTCACGATGCACCGATGTAGTGAAGAACACAGGTTATTCCTAAAAAAAATTGAGTCGAGAAATGCGGACCATTCGCAGCATGTTTATTGCTTGTCCAAATTTATCCCCGGAATTGTTACATGTTATAAGCCTTCCAGAGAGGTACTCCGTTTTGAGGTTGTTTTCAGCATTTCACTTGTGACGTCTGCGCTTTTAATACATAGGTGTGCCCCATGGGGCTCGCGATCATTCATGCAATCCGTTTGGCTTACCTTTTATACACGGCCACATATCCGTACCACATTGTTTAGTTATTTTTGAGACTTGTTCGAAGCACCAGCATAATTATATTTATTCCATGTTACGTTCCATAACTGCCTTACACCCATTTCATTTTGACTCCCCAGTGCTGAGGCAAGAAATTCGCGTTCGATCTATGTTGTTGCACAGCTCAATTTATGTTGTTCAGGGATCTGCCATCCGTCAATCTGATTCCACAAGATTCCTCCCTGATCATAGACGTCGGTTTTCAGAATGAATCAATCAATCATTTAAATTTATTGCTATAGCAAGTGGAGTGGTCAGTATCTGCTTTTATGCAGTTTCTAACACATTAATATAGCGGATGATGTGTAGAAAAGAGGGACAAAAACAGTACGTAAACAGATCAACATAAGGCGGTTTCCTGTTCGTCTTTAAATGTCTGAGGGCTTCGCAGAGCTTGCAATAAATAAGGCACGAGTGACCTTCGGAACAACTCCGTCCGAGCATACAGTATGTCTATTTCCGTACACCTAGCATCTACCATCGACCTACCGTCGACACACAAATAATGTGTTAGGTCGTCCAGGATCCTGCCTGCTATCAACAGTTTTCAACGATGTTTTCCGTGGTCACAGTTTCATAGAATGGACATACAGTGCCTAAAATAATTGCGCTTGTAAACCACTGTACGAGGATGTGTGGCGAATCCTCATTCGCATTGAGTTACACACCACCTCATTGACTCATAACCTCGCCGCCATGGATCGGCTAGGTGCATGTACTAATCAGACTTTCAGACAGTAGCAACGGCGACACACCCGTCAAATCGAGTTCCAAGACGGTTGGTCGTTTTTGGGTTTATGACCGCTATTTCGTTTATGAGAGAAGGGCGCTAGAAACTGCCTCACCGTGAAGGTGTAAGGAAAATCGACACTCCAGCGTTTACAAACTTTCGTTTCCCTCAGGTGGATTTATGAACCAACCATTACAATGACTATTACCTGTAGAATAACTATGCTAACTGCGCTAATTCATGTTGCTCACATATTGACAATCCTAAAAATGGTAAATTTAGTGTTTTGGGCATCACTTAATCTATTTATCCTTTAGTTGGTACATCGAATTGCGGAGCTTTGAACTTGGTCGCAACGACCGCCTGGCAGACGCTGACAAAAACCGGAGCTGGACAGTGCAGCTATCTCATTAAGGTATCTCCTATCCTCTTTATTTTTCAACTATTACAATTTGCATTTAAATATTAGCCAGAACGACATTTCTCACTGACGCAGCTAAATGCTGTGTGAAAGATATGACTGTGGTAATCAGATCAGCATTTTAGCGAGTTATTCTGTGTAGTATGAAGAAAATACACACAACTAAAAAAGCAATAAAACACACCATCCCCCCTCCCTCCACCTGTCTTCACACATACCCAACATGGTAAGCGACTTTGTACTTGTAATCTATAAATAACAGCTCTATCAGTACTGTTAAAAGACAGTAGAATTCAGTACTTTTCCTGCGTAAGAAAATTTTCACATGGAAATCCTTGATATATAGTTGATACAAAATCTGATACACTGTGACTCTTTTGTGGAGTCCGTTTAGTTTCGGAAGTAACTTACAACATGTGATAGCCGTTTAAAGCGTTTCTGTTGTCGATCTCTCATTGGAGGGATGATTGGCGTTGTTGCTATTGCTGTAGCCATCATTTGTTTAGAAAACTCCAGAGTCCTTCACGATTTCTGCTTTCCACCTCCATC